CCCAAAAATTTAAAAAAAAAAAAAAAAAAAAAAAAAATCAAGAGACTGCATCCACACAAAATCCTAAAATAGGCCTAACAATCCTGGGATTTGAAAAAAGAATATGACATTTGGAGCTGTTTTGATCCATCTTCTGGAGGAAGGGGTGGGAGGTTCCATTTTCAGGTTTTGACCAAAAAGCTAGAAACTTACTTTACTTTTTAAATTAACCCAAGATGCTCACAGCACCACGCGACTCCCAAAGCTGAAGTTTTAAGAAAGCACACCAGCAACCACAGGTTCGATAAAACAGTGAGAGTTGCCAACACTGCTACATGTACCAATGCCTGGTTATTACAAAACCAGACTTGAGGGCAGAGTTCAGACACAGATAAGGCTGCTGCTCAGATTCTCCTTGGCTTAGAGCCTCCTGAGAGTGATGCCTGGGAACCCCAGAGGCACTGGCTACATGGGGAAGCTGCAACCATTTTTAAATCAGTTGAGTTAAACCAGTACAAAAGAGCTGCGTGGATGTTTATTTCTGTCGAAGAGCCTTATTTCAATTGAGTTTAAACCAATTTCTTATCAAATTAAACTATATATAAAACTGGTTCCAAACAGCGTATATGGGCCCATGCAGCACTTGGCACCTGTTTAACAACACATCCTTGGTCAACTTCTTGCAATTTTCTTCTGCAGACAGAGGCGTTGGCTAGGCCTTCATTGCACAGCTAACCCAAGTTATTTCCATTTGAGTTAATGTCTCTGGAATTAGCCAAGTGTACGGGACATCAGCCTTACCGTCAGGCTGCATCTTCACTGCAGAGCTGACGTGACCTCTTAGTTAGGTGCTGCCCTTTACCTCCCCTCCCATCCATACTCAACTCCACTCTCAGTTAGCATTTTGATCCACCTAACAACAGAAGCTGAAGCCTCAACACCATTCCCACTTGGACACGTAACTCACCTGCTGTGCAGTGAGGATGCAGACGAATCACGTCAGTGCTGACCCTCCAGGGCTTCCCAATTCTCTCCCATGTACCCAGGAAGAAAAAATGAGTTCTCCATAGTTCTTTGCGGATGAGCCAAGCAATGATTCATCTCACTGAAGCCCAAAGACCCATACTGAAGAAGACTGAGCAATGCATGCGGGTGAGCATAGCATCAGCAAGGGCACCGCACACAGGTACGGCTCTGCAGAAGAGGCTCGCACCTGACCTGAGCTCATCCAGCTATCGATCACCTGAGTGAAGACAACCCCTAAGATCTGCTGTGAACCAGAGGGGTATGGAAAGTGACTGAGGAAACTTGATCAGCCCAGCCAGGCCCCATGTCTCTCGACTCAGTACTAGCAGACTCCCATGCCAGAGAGCACTTCGCTGCACAAAACAGCCATAACTCTTGCCCCAAAAGAAAAAAAAAAAATGAATTGGATTTCCATGATTAATTGACTACGAAAGAGCTGTTTGATTTTCTGACGAGTCCTATTTAGTGTTGGTTTTCCTGGCTTTGATCTCTGCTGTGCGGCCCCCATCTTGTCAGACAGTCTGCTGATTAATACGTTTAATCTCAGCTCCGAAGCTTGCTCTGCAGCCAGGGACTCGGAGCAGGGCTTCAGAGGGCAGGAATTCTGGGAATTCTCTGGGCAGCAATTTTCCTCTCTCCGCTGAGGGCAGGGTGGGAACTTCACTGGGGCTGGTTTGCAGGGGTGTCATGGTAAACACATATCAGGATCTCAGCAGTCAAACATGACAGTTCATCTGAAGGCCAAGAAAAAGAACGCCTCACGAAACCCCTGCATACCATAATTTCTAGGATGCAAGGCATGCCCTCCCCAACCCTGCCAAAATGGAGCTCTGAAAGGAAGATACAACTTATACACTGGAAAAATGGAAAGAGAAGTATCTGGTATTTGATATTAGACATTGGTAAGTTGAACAGATGCCAGGGAGAGTCTGCAGGTCTGGTTAGGGAGAAAGGGCATGCATGTCAGCACCCATGTCCACATACTAGACAGCCCCCAGGTGCCACAATGCCACCAGGGAAAGCAGAGAGGGCGAGGCTCGTAGTGGCCCATGGCCATCCTCCCCCATCGTATGCCCCAGACTAGTCCACATGAGGCTGCCACCACATTGTGCTCTTGTTCCTTCCTGCCGCATGGTCCAGTGGAGGCCATCTCTGTAGGAGTGGGTCTCTCATGCCAACCCTATCTTTGTCCCCTCTGTTTTCCTGTTCCCCTCCCAACTTCTCTATCAGCTGCCATAAGGACATGAATGTGAGAGCTTCCCTCTCCCCTGGGCCTCTCATCATTACGGTGGATATGGAATTTTTACCCCGTTTTATTCTTTGGGTATAAAAGAATATACCCAAAGAATATATGGGTATTTTTTACCCACTAAAAAATATGGCATCTCCCATCATCACTGAGTTTCCTGTAAGAGCTGTGCTAGGGTAAAAGTGGCAGCTTAGTGTCTTCTATAAACTAACCCCAGAATGAGGCCTATGCTAAGGGACTCGCTGCAGGTTGAACACAAGAATAATGCAATGTCAAAATTAGACACCTAGGTCCCCCGATGCTGCTGCCTAATCTTAAAGAAGCCATTTGGCATATGTATCCACTGCATTTAACTCATGCAATTGGTCTCTGGGTTTGCCTAGCTCCAGCAAGACAGACCACGCAGCAAAGACATGCCCAAGACACTGGCCTTACAGATGATGCATTTGCCAAGGTCCCTCTAGGACTTCTGGGAGCCCATTCCATGGAACCCACTAATCTAGGTCATTTCTTCTGGACACACAGGGGAATTGCAGGAAGGCACTGGAGGACTCTCACCACTGGAGCCTCTGCCCCCATGACAAAGAAAGCAGGTTACAGTCCAACAGAAAGCAAAAGTTGGCTTTAACTTCCCATCCCTATGAAAACCATCAGCCTGGCTTGAAAGCACTACTTATTTTATGAACAGACAAGACGGAGGGCAAGGGAAACACCTGGTAAAAGCCCAGGTTAACATTTTGATGAAGATATAGCCATGGGGAACATGGAAGGTGATGCCCCCACAACTACCACCCCCACTGATGTGCTGCAGGCCCAGCTATCCCAGCACTGTCAGAGGAGAAGTCATTACATGCGTGATGGAATGGGATTTATCATCTGGTAGGTGGTGCTGTTCTGGCTGCCCTTGCTCCTGGTTCCTGCTATTGCCTACCCTGGTTCAGCTGCCTTATCTCCAATCTATGAGGAAGGACATCCGCTGTAAAATGAACGGCTGCCAGAACCCAAAGGCACTGGAAGCAGAGTCTCCTCCAGGCTCCAGCTCCCAGGAGGGCTTTACTTCCCCCCCAGGGCCATTCCAGGCTCAGGAAGTTTCTGCCTTTACTTCCTGTCTTCCCATTCATTCCTCTTGCTTTCTCTCTCTTTCCCTCCCCCCCCCC